TTATTTATATATTGATATTAGAATTTGTGTTGATTCATTTATATTTATATTTAAATTTATATTTATATACATCGAACATGTATACTTATTCATGTATATAAGCATATATTTTTGTTAATTGCCTAGTTAGAATCGTATATTATTTTGTTTTTTTACGACCACATAAGGATTTATACGAATGATATTTGTGCTCTTCATTTAATTTTTTTTTACCCTGCTCTCTCATTTGTATATCGACGCTAGTGTTTCTACATGTATGTGCTTCCTAAACACCTTCAATCCAACTGGACATAACTAACTCTTCGGATATGGGTGTTTCCAGTGGAATGCGTGAATGTTTCTAACGGTCTTGCCACAGTATAGCCAACCCGTGGCATTGGATTCATTGCTTTGTACAAGGTTTAAATTCTGATATGGATATGCCCGTTAATTCATCGACGAACCTAGCAAACACATCCTCAACAAATTTCAAGGCACGCTTCAATTTGAGTGTATTTTGTACTTATGTCATTGGAATGGTCTTCAATCTCATATCTATGCACTGCCATTGCATTTAAAACTTGTTTAAATCAAATTTCGTCGTTTTAATACAAAATTTATGTATACGAATTGGCGGACGCAGCATCTAGTTGCGTCTATACGCACGTATGCTACACGCGACTATGAAGTTCTTGTGCGAGATTGTATACTTCTCATAACAGTTGGAAGTCATGCTTTGTCAGTGTTTGTTAGAATGTGGACTCTGCAGTTGGATGTGACATCGAAACTCTATTCATCTGACAATCTCACTGATACGTGCGTTTGTTATGCTGCTAGTGTTTTTAGCTGCATATAAAACGCTTTTATTTTCCGTCCAACTTAGCGTCATACCCTCCATAGAGTCATATACAGTTCGAAACTACCCCAAATTCGGAAGGTTTCTTCACAAACTAATCCTGTGAGCATATATCGATATGTGCACGCACAGCGAGTGGGCTTTTCTATCTGGCGGAAGTAGTAGAGGAGTATCCCGAGCCAACGAAGAAATTCATAGGGATCGCACTGATTGTAAGTGTGTGTTCTCTTGCTTGCGTGCTATGTCAGCTTTGACACTGTAACTGTGGAGCATGCGCAGTGCATTTCATGATACGTGTACGGTGTCATACGTAGCAGATCAGGTGCATACAATTAGTTCGATTTTCACGTACAGTATTACGTCTTGAAATTTGTGAGCTCAGTGATATATCTGCCCATCGCAATTCAGCTACTCTATGCAATTGCGGTTGTTCTGTTCATATATGTTAGTTGAAAACAATATGCGCATAGTTGATCCTACTATCGGTACCGCACATAAAGGCAGCTTAATCTCTCTTGATATGGCGCACTCTGTAAGTTCAAATGATTCCATACAACCCAGCGATCCGACCGAAAAACCGTGTGTTTGCATCTTACCAATTAAGTGAATGTCAAATCGGCCCTAGTGTACGACCTTTATTCTGTGTGTGCATCGTACAAGCAGGTATACATATTTGCATTCGACACTGTATGTACAAAAACACAAATTACTCGTGTGCAGCTGGTGTCCATCTCCGTTACAGCCACTCACCAGCTTGCCCATCTCTAAACACACTCCCACAGACTGCCTGTGTGTTGAATGCTGCCATGTGGCTATTTGAGGGCTATCCATTGTTGGAGGTCGTGCTACCAGGGCTCGTAGCCCACGGATTCTACTCTCTACTGCTCCCTACCTTCCCCGTGTGCAATTTTGCATCCGTCGGCTTTGTGTCCAGTACAGGTAAGTTATGTTATCCATGCCTTGTATTGTCTCCTGCGCCGCGTACAAATGCGATGGGGTTATCATTTCGAGAGTGACTTAGGCCTTTTATTCTACGTGTATTCGTATTTTGCTGGGTGTTGGGTGATTGTCAACATGGGGGATGAGGAACTTAACCATCGAAAGCTTACGATAATAATTCAGTTCATAGCATATGTTATTTTTACCTTGGCGTCTGTTGCTATCGATATTTGTTGCCATGAAAACAAATAATTTTTCGAGTTCTCGCCGTGATTTATATTATTAACTTATTGTGCCCATATCCCTTTAAGATCTTGCGTAGCCATAATATAGTCATCAATCAGCGTATATCTCCGCTAACTACCATCTATATGATACTCCAGTAATCTCAACTCATAAGTTTTCTATGTGTATGTCAATGGTGTCATAAGGAAGCTTCAACTCTATTTCACGATTCTAATTTTCTAATAAGACTACATTGTTACTGTATACTCATTCCTTCTTCCTTCCCTTTGGTGCTTTACACGGGCTACACACCGACAGTAATGTTCTGCGTGCATCAGTACTGCGTGTTTTCGTACTTCTCGAGACACTACTACGTATTCGCGGACGTGCTGGCCTACTTCACCGTATGCGTGTGGCTCGTACCCTTCATCTTCTTCGTCTCATTGACGTCTAACGACGGCAACCTGCCCACCAAGTCCTCAGACGGTATGTAGTCCTTTTTGTTTTGTTTTGTTTTTGTTTTTTTGCCGTGGTTGCCTGAATTTCATTTTGAGTTATGCATGCAGATATTCTTGTTTAACTCTGACCGCTTTGCGTGGCAACACCGCATGCTGGTTAGCTTCCCTGCTGCCACAATGAGCTCTTCCACCTGTGCAAGCGAGGGCGTTTGTTCTACAATCATGCTCACATATTGCTATTAAGTGCGAGATGTATCAAAGTATATTCACGGATGATACCTTTTCTGTGCTCAGGTCAAGCCTCAGCAACCCCGGCAGCACGACGCAGCAGTAAGGTGGGTCTGAAATCCATGCTGAACTTCTTGAGCTGGAAATCAGACGATTTGCCTAAGATACATGAAACTCTCAATGAGACACACAGTCACAGCAGCCTGGGTATGGGGGGTGACCAGTATCACCAAAACAACGGCAATATGAGCGGATACGAGAGCGCTGGATCGTTTCAATCGAGGTCTAATAGTCCATATGACAACCAACCAGGTTCAAATGGGGCAAACATCGGTGGTACAAATCCTTACCACAGGCAACATAGTAATCATTTTGAGCCACAAAATACGTACGGGAACGTGGGTAGTCGGTCGTACGATTACAGCCAGAAACATATCTGATCATTTCTGAGAAATGAGGTTCGAAGGAGTGGGTCTTTTGGTTGGCGTATAACATTAGGAATCACTTAAAAACGCTGGAGAATCGGTTTTGAAGTTTTGAGAACAATTTCATATATCTCGATAAATTCTCTACTTCAAATTGTTCACACTTATTATCATAGCCTCTTAAAATAAAACAAAGGCTATGATATTATATATTAAATCTTTACAAAGTGATACGCAGCCTGAATTTTAGTTTCTGTTCGTTTCGGCATCGTCACTTGCTCTGGCAAGGATGACTGGAATATCATTGAAATCTATGGACCAATTCTCGCATTCCAGGACCATAATGCGTACATGTTCTCGGCGTGGTGTGTTATAGGAGTTCTAGGCAAATGAATGGATTCAGTGAATAGCGCTTTCGCGAGGGCCGACAGTAAATATAGGCACATACGAGTAACGAGAAGTGAGCGGAATCTGTTGTGAATCCAGCATCCAACATAGATCGAGAAAAAAATTATTTCAATGCTTTGGTATATTTCACCGGTGATCCAAAGATTGTTATCCAATTTTTTTTTTTGTGGAACACGTAAATAGCAAGTACCCCAATCATAAATATGTAGTGCATATTTACGGAGATGACTGTTTCTGTTCCGATATTTGACTACTTATTGTATTTATTGTAGTACGATCTCGGTTGGTACGGCATACGAGAACCGTACGTCCTCGAGGCACAGGCACGAGATGTGACTGCTTTCAGATGAGTGTACGCCATTGCACACGGTATCACCACAGTAGATTATCACAAAGTTTGAGGAAACCATGGTCCTGTAATTTCAGCTGCTCAGTCAAGACTACCATGGTGTTGTAGTACTCTGCATAATATTACATAAGTTAGTTGAAATGCCACCACCGACATATATCTACGAAGGTAACGATGTCATTCGGGACAGAGAGATATTCGCTGCTAAGTCGCAGGAACTCAAATGGTAAGTTCATGTGATCATTGCGTCCGCCGTAAGGTTTTTGATAACTGCAAGGCTCGACATCGCGACATTCGCCACCACAAACAGGGGATCGATAGAGGATATATGCAGACTATGGGTTGTAGCTAGATTGTTCATTTTATGTATGTTAACTGGTTTCCTAGATATTTACTTAATATTGAGGGGTTATTGATAGCTAGCGGACCTGCTACGCATTTTGTAGCGTTGTATTGTATATATCGTGACTTGTGGGTTGTCTTTGAGTCGGAGAACGATTGCGGCTCTTTCTTTGGTCCACTAGCGCCACTGAACAATCCTCATCGCGTATCGGAATGTGCCGCAAACGCTTTTCTGGATAAGCTACCGTAGCAATTGTTAAGTATCTAATATTTCGGCGTGAGCACTTTGGGTTGTGCCTATTCTGAAACGAGTATTTTCTCGTATTCGTATATGACTGTTCTCGCAATGTCGGTCAACATTGTGTTCAACAACTGGCACGTCTAGGCGTAAGTACCGAGCGAAGTCTCACAAATTGATTAAATTACTATCTTGATTAAATGTGTTCCGTCCGTATCAGTATCTCTGCGAGTTAAGGCCAGAGTTTGTATATACCCGAGCAAAGTTAGAAAAGTGACGCTTTTCGCTTCGGTGTGTACACGCCTTGTACGCCTTTTACTTACCGTATGTGATCTGCTTGTGATAGTAGCCAACACTTCGTGACCTTTTATTTACTTACTAATATCTTTTGCGCATCATATCAAGTATCCCACGTCAGCTACGTATCTTGAGTGTTGAGTATGGTGGCAGTTCTGACATGAATGTAATCGACCGCGGAGTCATATCCCAACCCTCATTTGCTTGATGGTGACTATGCAGGTACTGGACTTTGCTGATATACTTAGCTGTACTATTCCTCCTGGCCCCCATCTACTTTTCTTTTGATTTGGCCGCCTCAGAGGCCGATTCTACGAGGAACATTCCACTGGCGATTGCACTTGGCACTATTACATTGATCATAGCGTTGATAGAGCTTTTGATGTACTGGATGATTCGGTAGGTTGCAAAGCACATCTCACTACCACCACGTGCGACAGCTTTCAAGCGTACATAAACAGTTACTGAACATGCGTGTATGTGGTGGTATGTATCTGGCGCAAGTGTGTATGGATGGCAGATCGCATCTAGCACTGAGAACGACGTTGCCAAGGTACACATGTTACCAAAACAGTTGATTCAAATTCATCCTTGCGCCATATAATTGAATTGCTATTGATGCTTGCAACCTTGACTTTCGTAAGTTTTAACAAATTTCACCAATATAAATATTTCCATGTTGAGTTGGGATCATCACAGCGCACTGACATTCGAAGCTGTAGTCATTTCTGAGAATTGGCCTTTGGTACTGCTACGTTTTGTTTTCTGTACGCGTTGCGCTATAGAACTTGACGCCAATCGGGCACTGGATTTGAAAAGCCACTCTGCGAAAATCCAGACTCTAAATGAAGCGTGCATCTTTCCGATAGTTGGACCTATCTGATGGTTCAAGATCGAGTCATACTTCTTCGTTCTAAACAATTCGTATTAATTTGGTCCTACACTATGACAGGAAGGCCCAGTGTATGACAATTAGAGGGAAATACTTTTACCTCGCATTCTTCTCTACGCAGTTCGTATCCGCTGTCGTCTTCATTCTGGTAAGTCTGTACCCTTTGCCATCTGCGAATGTCCGTCTGACTATGGCAAGGTGAAATGTGGTTGTAAATCTATAGCTGCCATCCTCGAACGTGACTCCATTCCCTCCATGTGCTTTCAAGAGAAGCATCGTAAAATTTGCCGCTGCTCTTGTTGTTGACGTAGATTCTATTCGCTTCCGCGAAGTCGAGTGCTTTATGCGTGATGCGTAGGTTGACATTGGTTGGAAGGCTTATGATCATGTTGCAGTTCGGTAGCGTATAGTATGAAATGATTAGTACAGTACGCAGTTTGAAATGCATGTTAAATCCTGAACCTTTTTGTGTGGCACGTCAAGTTGTAGCGAATAGTTTGCACATTGAATCTTTATGGCGTCCACCGACGGAACATTGAGAAAGTTCTTCTCAGTTTATTATTTCATCTTTGAAATCCCGTACAGAAATCTGATTCTCTTCTTCCACTTTATGTATCTGGGTCGATTATTCATTCGTACTTTCTCTATTTATCTTTCGCCAAATACTTGCGCAAAGCATGTAAATCTGCAGGCTGGCGACAGTAAGACGGAGCGTCTTCCATCGAACACTTAGACTAACCTTTGTGTATTTCCTTTCGCTCTCTTAAACCTTATCCTAGTCGATGATATGGTCGTCTGGAATGGTTGGCACTACCGGTATGGAGGTCCTCAGGGAAATTGATTTCCGTGAATGCGTATATAGTATCTTAACGTGATTGGTCTTTTTATCTGCGTCAGAGGTTTCTTGTTTTGCTGCCTCGGTGGTCAGAGTACCGTTGCATTCGATGAACGATCTATAGATGCAATATCAGTTTCACAACCGGCAGATTACTCATCAACTAAACACAACCTCACACAGAAAGTGTGACCGTCGCCGGAAATGACATTCTCCTGCCGGATCAACAATCGTCCAATGTGCTATTTGCGCTGTGGGTGCTACGAAAGTATGTGGCCCACACCATCCCCGTGCACTGCATATACTTGGGGATTTCTGCTACTTGCCTCAGTGAATCTCGCTTTAGCACACTCCCATCTCGTAGAAGATACTGGTTGGATATGAATATTCGAATGTCTGGCGCCGTTGCATGCATCAATTGGCGGGAAACTTTTTGATTTTCTATCATGGTTGGGACCGGAGTATTTAAACCTTCTTGATTGTCCACTTCGCGTCAGGCTTTTCACCGTACTACTCATGGTTCTTATTACGGGAAGGATGAGGTACATCGTCAATCTCTACGTCAATACCAAAAGACTGCGAGGTATGCTGTTAAAATTTGTACTTACCTGGAGGGTGCATGCCTGTCAATCATTTGGGACTACGTCAACCAATGCTCTGCCGCCTGTTGCACACACACCTTTGAAGACTATCCGGCTGTTGCTTTCATTCACTACAATGACTTGAATATTTTGCCTGTTGTATATTCGGCAATCGATCCTATTTCCATACAGAGGAGGACGAATGGAAGAATTACTACGCACAATTGGTTGTCTTTTTCCCGGCCGCCTACATCGATTTTCTCGTCGAGATATATGGTAAGTTGATTGTTTTCCCACTTCGGACATGTACGCAGTAGACCGACCAATTACGGGAGGTGTGTAGCGAGATAGTGACCAGCTATCTCATCGCGAAAATGTGACCAGCTATCTCATCGCTAAAAATGTGACTAGCTATCTCATCGCGAAAATGTGACCAGCTATCTCATCGCAAAAATGTGACCAGCTATCTCATCGCGAAACTGTGACCAGCTATCTCATCGCGAAGTTGACAAGAAGTGGTGTTCAGGGCTTTCGTTTCTATTTCATTAGTTATGACATGTTATTCGAACTAAGATATATGGTGAAACCCATATCGGATTACCGGAGTTGTACGGCACCTGTCCGTCAAAATCGGCCCAATACACTCATCGACACTGTTACAGCCAACCGTGGAAATGTATCGTGCAACACTGTATCGTTTTGGGGTGAACTTGTGGTTTTGGGATTAGGTATGGGAGTCGCTTCATTACACCCAAAACAATTGCCGTTACATTAAAATACGGACGACCAGTCACTGCCACCGCTGTCAATTAGAGTTTAAACATAGCCTCCTAAATGTATTTATTTTAGGCGGCTTTAGTTTAAAGTTTTGACATAGCCCCCTAAAATAATTACATTTTGATCAAATCCTAAAACCCTGGAACCCCCCCTCAAAATCGGTCTTGGTTGTCTTTCTGATATAACGACCCGTATACTTGCTGTTATATCTCCAGCATCTTACATTCTAGAGTTCTACAATGGCTACAAGCTGCAGTACAGTTCATCGTCCATTGTGTACTTCTACGCAACGGTCGTTCTGGCTATCCAACTGGCTCAAAGTAGGGATTGGCGTCACTCGATACTCGATTGGTATGCGCGAGTATTATACTTCCTGGTTAGATTGGATGAACTTTGCTGCTACTTCCACGCAGTTGGTGTAATCCGATGCTTGCTTAATATGCAGTTATTTGATGGTAGAGCTTTAGAAAGTTCATTGATCACTCACATACTGCTACATTCTAGTTAATGTGGATTTTCTTAGCGGGACCGGGACTCAGAACCCATATAACCCACCCCGGCCCGTGGGAAGTAACGTTGCAGTAGTATTTTCGAAAAAGATTCGCACTGTCATTGTGATTGTGCATTGCATTATTATTGCCGCATTATTAATGTTCATGAATATTAACACTCACGCTAACTCTGCACTCGGATGTAACGCACTCTTTCGGCGGGCTGATATAGGGATGCCGATTTGCGATTGGCTATCATATCATTGATAATCTTTCTGATCTGGTGCGTCATAGTTACGCAAGAACCGGAAACATACATGTTTGACTTCTTGATTGCGGGCTTAGGGTATGTCATTGCTAGCAAAACCGTTCTCCAGTCAATCCGAAGCTTTTGTTCATGGTTTAAGCAGGGCTCGCAATCTCTCTCGTCGCTACCAATCATTCGTTGTGTGCTTAACGCATATTGTTCAACTTGCTGTTGGTCGAGTACGATATCTAATGTGTATTATTTACGTCGAATTACAGCCAGTACAATCTTATGGTCTACGGCTTTGATATCCTGGTTGCTCAGTACATCTACTGCCGTGAGTTTGCAGCCGATACCGGGCATGTCCCAATGTACAGTGATTCGCTCACGCGGCAGCCACACCGTACGTCCGTGGATGAAACGGTATGTTTTCGATTTGCGTATTGTGACCCGCGTCTCGTTGTTTTTGTTACAGCCACAATATCCCCCGCGTGTTTACAGTCTGCTACTGTGGGTGTAGTGCATCAAATGATAACTGTGCGAATAACCTCAACCCTTTCCGGTTCCGACCATGTCTGTACATGTAATGCCTTTAATCGTTATGCACTGTCTGAACTATTCCTGGGTTTATGTGCAGGGTGATGCAGCAATGGATCATGGTTCGCGACAAGGACGAGCAACGGTGACCAGTAATAAAGGTATGGATAGGAGATATTGCGATGGTTATACCGGTTAGTATATGTGCGCGAAGACCGGCAGAGGTGGCACTCATCTCCTGGCTTATTATATTACATGTTGCACCCTGTTATAAAATTCTGACTGTCGACAGTGATGTAATCCTACTACAGTTTGTGCGTAAGCAACGCATTTTTTTCTTTTTCGGCCAGTTTCTTGCTTTATCTGTTGTAAGTTCGGGCCTAAATGGATGTTACAAGGGTATCGAACGCTGCTCTCCTGTTTATGGATCTCTCACTGTTTGCTGTATTGTTGCTGTTCTCCATTGTGCGATATTCTCACATTGTGATATAAACATGCGAGATGGAACGGTTGGTTTGATATTTCAGTTTCTATTCAAATGCGCCTCCACAATGTAAGTGTAACTCCATCAATATTTGAATATACATGCTTTTTGGGGGGGGGGTTTGTTTTGCTTCAGATTGGTATCGCAGATTAGATGAGCTGCAGAATAGAGCGCTATACCAACTAAATGTGGATTTGAGTGCGGAGCAGCCCTACACATTGCACACAATGAGGACGCCGGGAGACAGGACAATGACAGAACGCCAATGGGAAGTCCAGAGACACAAAAATCGTAATCGCGAGGAAATAGAGGCTGGCGTTATTGCACAAGTCACAAGTATCAGCTCCGACACAGATCACGCGTCTGTTGATGACACCGAGGAAGGAGTTCACGATGTCAATTCGAACTTCATCGCTAATGAAACATATGACGGGATGCAACAGGCTAGCATAGAACAAACCCCTAGTGTGACAACTGCCTCTGTCCCAGGTAAAGAATCCGCACTCGACCCGCAAGCACCATCATAGTATGAGGTATCTTTCGCAATGGCCCTAATATCCGCGTTAATACAAGGTTGACGGTACCAAGGTCACATAGGTTTCTCAAGGTTATAGCGTCATTGTATTAAAACTGCTGAAGGTTACGCACTTTGAGACGGATTGGGATTACGCGACAATCCTGCTATCCATTACCATTAGAGCGCGGCTGCTAAGGTTGTGAGATATCTTTTCATAGGTTGTGAGACGCCATCACTCGCTGTCATGAGAGTCACAATGGTGAGCATGGTTAAATTTCAAGTGTGGACGGTAGTCCACGATGAGACTTTAACATCGAGCATCAGGGTGTGAATAATATCTCACTCTGTCATACACGTGGACAAGTCGACCCGCATCGACAAAATTGTCGACAGATAATAGCACTTCGGCGGGCCCATCAGAGTCTTCACTATTATTAATCCGGTTACTACTCGCATACTTGTACGAAGGTCTTTTCGATGTAATACATAATGAAGATATTCTCGATAAAGTGGAGGTGTGCAACGTCATCGACTATTGGCAGCGAGTACAGCCACAAGTCGAAGGCACAATCCAATGAAAACCTAGCACTTATTCTCTAAATTCTTACCAGCCACGAACACATTATTTATTAAATAAAAAAAATACTTTGTTGAAGCTTTGTACGTGTGAACTATAAAGTGCATATACTCTGTTGATATGAGTCGAGCCAGGGTTCTCCTGCTAGTCAACTCTGTCTGCCTATGTATATTGCTTCGACAGAATGCTGAGCCTAAACGCAGCAAACACGAGGAGACAAACCGTGGAACCCCACCGCGGCAGAAGTGATTAACTATTTATAACAACCGAAGGGAACATCTTACACATTTTTTTGCGTGTGTGTATAATGTGTAAATGGTTAGCTTTAGCATGAAAGCATAAATTTCAATATTAAAAAATCAGTTGAGCTCATGGCTGAGATAAAGATCATGACTTAATGACGAACAATTTGTAAACTGGCGCATAGAATGGTGCATTTTTATTACGATGGGTAAAAGTATCGCTTTTGTGTTCATCGACCCGCTCGTATGTTATGTTGCCCGTACAAGAGTGTCTGGACACACACTTTTGTGGTAAAAAAATAAATACAATCTGCATCATATGTCTACGATCTTACGCCTCCTCGATGCATGCCAACATAACGTACAAAGGGTATGACTGAATCAAATTCTTTGCACAGAATGCATTCGATGAGGTGTATGGCTTCATATAAGTAGTAGTGATTGCAAGACAGAAATTGTTGCAGCAACTGTTCACTTACTGTCGTAGTATTAACGAATGAGCAGGTGTCTCCGATCTCGTTGCTGACATTAGATACAATACTGATACGGGTGCATCGACTTCTACAATTACCAATTATCCAGAACAAACTCTAAAATAGTTATTATCAACTCAACCGAGTAAAATGGAATTTAAAATCTCTGCTATTCTCTCGTGGGCCAGAGTGGTCGGGTGGAAGGTGTCCCACCACATGTAGTCATTTACATCGGTGCATTGGGTTATGATATCGGCACCTTGTAATAGATCCAAACAAGAACCGGTCTGATTTTTGAATTTTTGGGTCACACTGTCCATTGTGTCCTTGAAGGGTATAAAAGTTACAGATTTGTCGGGATACGCTAGTTGAAGTTCTCGCACACGATTTTTTGTTTCCTCAGAAACGTAACTGATTATCCTCTTTAAAAAATTCACGACAAGTGAGCCCTGTGCCTGTGCATATGGTACGGTGTACATATTAGACATGTCGCAAACCTTGACATCATGGACGTTGTCATTGTCCAGCAGATACCTGGCAGTGTTCGTGATGGCGTCCACACTTGGGTTCATCATTCCTTCCCACTGCATCAGGAAAGCCGCCGAACCGTGAACTTGGCTTTGGAAAAAATGTCGTTACTCCCGACGCACACTAAGTGCACGTCGCCAGTTCTATCCGGTGACTCAGGTTGGAACGGCGGGCTTTCTCTACGGAACGCTGTCATTTGCACCTCAGTCTGATCACTGGCCACGAACACCGGCCACTGCAAAACGCTACTTCCAACGTATCCCTGTACCACCGAGTTGTTTGTCGTTGCACCCCCTCTGGCAGAGCTGACCAATTGGTATCCAACTGTGCGGCCAGCGTATTCCACCCAGACGTCCCCATTTAAATATTTCTGGTCGTTTTCAGATGGAGGCCATGCCCCATTTGTTATCTGATAGGTTACACCAGTATCTGATATCGAATCGCCATACACGTATAGGGTTTGAAGCGACGCAGCGAATGCGCACTGCGAAATAAGAATACCCAAGATGGCCCTGGCATGGGAAGCTGCATCCATATTTAAAGGCGGTGTCAACAACGATAAAAATAGAACCTATAGGAGATACTGTGCAAGGGTATGTATGGAAATATGGTTAGGACATTCGAGATACTTATTAAAAAATAAATGTACATGATTATAGTAACAATATTACAAAAGCACCGTCCAAAAAAATCATGCATGCTACATACTGTAGATTTATGAAGATAAATACCATCGACATATCAATTTCTCTTTCAGTGATAGTCTGATAGAGCAACGACAATCTGCCACAAGAAGCTGTAAAATTAAAAAAATATAAAAAGTACACTTCCAAGGGAGAGAGTTCAGTTCAGGCCTCAACTAGCCTCTGGTAAACGACAGCTCTATGATGACTTGCTGTAGACCGTCGGAAACTAGATTGCTACCTCGACATGTCCGGACGGCATGTCTTTTAAAATACAGTCAAAGTCCGCTGGATATGAATCATGATACTGCCCTAGGACGAGATATCGCGACGGGTCGGAAACTAGTTTGCTAACAACTTGGTCGTTTATGTAAACAGTCTTGTCGAAATCGCAGGGCCCAGATTTACATAGCTGTACATATTATAATTATTTTGTTTTTGTTATTTTATGATAAATACTGGAAAGTCTTTCTTGCACTCTCCGAGAGAGAGAGTGAGAGAGAGACTATTGGATGTTTGTATTGTTACAAATTTTACTCTTCTTGTTGTTTTGTTTTTTATTCATCTGTAAAGAAGCCTCAAACAAAATGACTGGAGCAGAGGGATAATATTGTCCCTACATTATACATATGTACATAAATAAAGAACATCACTACAGATGGTCATAACTCATTTGCTGCAGCTGCGAGCCTCATAAAAAAACAAACAAAAAAGATCATGTGTAAAAATATACTTCTTGATCTTGATATGAGTAACAATGTAGCATGAACCTCTATGTACTACTAGTAGAGAGAGAGAGAGAATAAAGAAAATATAAAACATCTTGATCTATGTATTGTAGTGTACAATATGAAAATATGTATACATATAAACGTGTGGTTAGTGGTACGTCTTTAAAATACATTTGAGATAGTTCGCTATCCAGTGCACAGATTTCTGATCAACCAACACTTTGTCAAATACCTAACTAGATTCTTTAGGTTTCCATGAACTCATAACTGTCTATCGATCGCACGTCTCCTAAGAAGTACAACACAAATGCATATTGAATAAAAAAAAGAGGACTTCTCCAATACTCTGATACGGCTTCTATTTTTTCCAATTGTCCTTTACTTAACAAACTACATTTTTACTTACAATATCAAATGTTATGTGTAGCGAGCTACTGGAGTATGAACAGCCAGAGTCCACTCTCGCATGTCGCCGAAGTACATCACTCTAGCCATATTAATGCACCGAGCAACAGGACTGCTTGTTATCTTGGCAACTTAATTGTGATATTTGTTATTGCCACGGGAAAACACCAACATTGGAGTGGTTATGGATTTCATAGTTCCCCAAACAAGTCATCAATACGCTTCAAATAACTGGATATCCGATTCAAATTCGAATCAGGGCGTACGTTAAATACTGCAAGCGTACCACAAACTGCTAATACGCAAATCGAAGACTTTGCACTTTAGCCCATTTTACCATCAGCTAGTTCTGTCCGACTCTTGTAGGCAACAAGCTGATCTAGATATCCGAGACGGATTCGAATAGTTGCTATAATTGCCGAAGTGTAGATCGTAAGGAGCCAATATACGTGCCCCACCTTGATGGCCGGGGATCCCGACAACACAATTTTGAATCAAATACATACTACCCATTTTTTTAATTTCAAAGTTGGCAAAAGCGGTCTTTTTCTTCTTCATCGTAATTAGATAACCGATAAAGCCATGCGTGTGTTCGTGTACATTGGTATTTTTTACACCAGAAAACTCAAGGTCAATTGACTACTCAGGATAGGCATGGGCGGGAATTACGGCCTGCTATAGAGCGAGTGATATCCTATGAATTGTTTGATGCAAGTGTGATGTTGCACCCCATATTTGGGGATCCACAGGACTTGGATATGATATATCGCAAATCATTGGAAATCATATTTGTGAAAGCTACCATATCACTTGTTGTAGATAATTTATACGATTTGAAATATGTAACCGAATGCAAGCACCGCACATATATGGACAAGGGCCATGCCAGGCGTTGCTGACGTACAAAATTACAGTATTTTCTCAAGTAGAACCTCCGAACGATCAAAGATTCTTATTATTTATGCCTTATAACACTAGATAGCTTGATCGAGGTGTCTGCTGACAGAACTGTATTTATTGCTTCATTGGAATGCACAAATGGTTGATGTCATTAGTATCTCTCGTGTTGTAGAGTGCACGTGTTGTGTTAAACGCTCGGTATGAATATTGGCAGCTAAATCAGTATCAGCTATCAGCTATAGATCTCAATCGAGCCTATGTTAGTTTTCCCACGAGTACCGAGCAATATTAAACGTTTGAAATGTAAGAACCGCCAAGATAGTTAAAAAATAACACAAAAACGCACCCCGCACGATTCCTCGACGAAACCCAGGTTGATTCTGGCATGCATTAGTGTCACAGATTTTGCTGTTGCTCTGTATAAAGTTGACGAGCCGATTTACAAAATACAACAAACTCACAGAATCATCATTATCACTTCATTTATTGTCCGTTGTGAGAAGGGACTCTACCGTATGGTCAGAGCTACGCCTCGTTGGTGATCGGTATACTTTTAACGTAGAAGCTCAGCGAAAGTCGATTTGAAATGTGCTCGTCGTATATGCGGCAGCATTCCTTCATAAATCGGTGACTGGCGAGCTTGCGACACAGCTTATTCCGCACACTCCCCATCTCCTAGAATGTATTATTACAATCCGAGATTTGCTAACTAGAGAACCACACCGAAACCTTCGTCGTTCTGAGGTGACAATAGAAATTCGTTGAACTCACACGTTGACCGTGGATTTTTTTTTTTGGTTCGAGGTCCTTGGCCATCCTTGCGCCATCCAATGCCTATAGCACTATATCAGCGCAGCCCTCCAGGGACACTCCGTTGACATTCCAGCTCTGCAGTCCTACCAAACTATACCTCCCCCCCCCCCCCCCCCAGCCAATATTACACCTATTCAGACCACTTTTTTCGCTTCGATAGATGCCAGGTAAGCTGGTGATGATTGAGCTGATTCGGACGATTGCTTGGGGACCAATGCGTTGGCATCGGTCGCCGCTTTCTGGTCGCTGCGTATTGCGGAGAGGGCATTGAGGCTTTGGCTTGCATTCAAATTTGCTGCAATCGTTTTATCCACAACTTCATTGAGGGGCGACAACGTACCCCGTCCCTGTGCTTCCGAGTTCGCTCGATTACGTATTTTATCTTTTCGTGAACTCTGAGATCGTTGGCTGAAAGAACAATTTAAATCGTCAGACAGATGTAAATTGGGTACTTCCCTTTTAGAATTGAGTTCTTCCTTTTTTTGCGAACTATTATTGCATCGCCCGTATTGCATATACAGTCGTCTCAGCTCAATGGCGTTGGATGTGGCGCACGCATCGTATGTTTATTAGAGCGTTTGTAAATGTGCATGTGATCAATAGTCAACAACGCAAGAAACGCACACGTACAATTCAAGACAAGCGAGTACAAATACTATCGAGTACAGAAGCTACGACGTACTACAATTTGGGCTTACCTCCTGTCCAGCCCAATATTAAGGGCATCGTCTAGAATCTCCCACCGGTGTAATAGTTCTTCTTTATCACTCTGGTTCTTCTGTTGCCGGCTTGTGGCAATTTGCACGCCTAGCGGAAAACGAAAGGTTAGAAATAGAGGAGCAATGTCATTCCAAAATGCAATCTTATGTGATAGATTAGATGCTTAAATACGGCAGCATGCACTCAGCGACTAAAGGCGCGTAAAGAGGGTTATTAATGCAAAAATCTGAGCCATTGCATAACAATTGTGGTTCATTACACCGGGTAATAACTAAATAGCAACACGTACAACATAACATCGTGAAAAGCTGTGACTTACAAACAGACCCATCGCACTCATAGCTTCCACACGCTATTTATAATACAATGCAAATAAGCTTCGAGCTTCAATAGTGTATTGCCTGCACTCGATCGAAAATGTCAACAACGATACCTAGTTGACGATTGGGACTCGGAACTTGATAAACATTCAAGGATGACAATACGTCTCATGCCGCACAACAAATAGCAGTACAGGTGAACGTGCTACTGTCATGAGAATCAACAGCATCCACTAGTTCTTTTGATCGGCACAAGCGAGAGACATCAGAACAACACGCACAACAACACACCACCCATATATATCGACCTAATCTCTAAAAGCATGAACACCCCTACCGCTGAAGCGTACTCATCCCTCCTGCACGCTCACAAACACAAATAGGACCACTACTAAATACCACAGCATGACAATACGGCTGTGCACATACTTTCATGCAACTGCTCCATCGAAACCCCGTGCGCGAGTCGGAACGTGCCCATGAAACGTTTCTGGTGCTTCGTGACTTTATCCAACTGGAATTGAGACAAGAAAGAACGGTCGCATGAGAAAACTCGCACCAACAGCCGACGAATTCGAGTGGCGTGCGTGAGGTTCTTACGCTGTAGCTGCGCTGAGGTAACTTCTGCTCAATCGGTATTCATTTGGCCATGGTTTATGAAGCACATGTTGGTCTTGCGTAGATTCCAAATGCACCATTTTAGAGACATATGCATACTCGCATACACACATGCGCATGAAACACCACATTCATTTTCTTCAGCGAACTAACTCAGCAAGCATAAATAAAAAGATAAGAAAATCGATCTTAGCAGCAAAAGAAGTATACACCTTAACGCACCTCGCTTCGCGCGTCTAATAGACCCTCCTCCGCTTTACGATGAGCTTCCTTCCAGTAATACACTTCCTTGTCGTAGGTTGCACGCATCATCTTCCGAACTTGTGAGAACCGTTTAGCTTCCTTGAGGTTCCTTTCACTCATTTGCTTGAGCGATAATTTCAGGGCGAGTATTTCCGCCTCTTGTTCTTTCAGCTTCTCGTTTCTGTGTGCAGTGATTAGAGTGGAGTGCGTATAAAAAAAACAGCCACAAGCTATAACCATACAGATGTATATCGATATAGGCCAGGCATTGCGGCGTAATGCGATAAAAAAGAGATATATCAAGTATATGAGTTCTAAAAAGACGTGCAGGCAAAACCGTCCATACACTCGAATAAGGCAGTAAAAGTGCGCGATATGACAGCACTCCATGGGGTAAATGTAGTGAGGTCTACAGCAGCTTATACATACATAAATATATGCCAAATTAATAATATAACACACACACACACACACACATATATATATAAATACATATATATACATACATACATATACATAGATATACCCATATACATATATGAATAAATACAATAGAAACATACATATAAAATATAGATACAAACACATACACACACACTATATATATCTGTATATATATATATTTACATACAAGCACACACACACTTACATACATATGTAGAAACACACACACGCATATACGAACGCACACACACACACACACATATATATATATATATAAACGCACACATATACAGACATGCATACACACACACACATATATATATATATATATATATATAAACAAACATACACACACATATATATATATGTATATATGTATATATATATATATATACCTTTGTATAAATGTGCATTTATAGGTACTTATATTTAGTCAAATACATACAATACATACATACATGCAAAAATATATACAAATCCACATATATATATACCTATGTATAAATGTGCATTTATAGGAGCTTATATTTAGTCTAATACATACAATACATACATACATGCAAAAATATATACAAATCCATATATATATATATATATTATATTGAAAAATAAATATAGATATATATAT